AAAAACGGAGTCCCACAAGGATCAGTAATGAGCACCACACTATTTTTAATAGGAATCAACGACATCACCATCAACTTCAAGCCACCAATAAAAACCCAGTTATTTGCGGATGACGTAACAATCACATGTAGCGAGAAAAATATAAGCTTCATTAACGAACATTTACAAACAGCCATCAATACCCTTCAGGACTGGTCAAAAACAACTGGCTTAAAATTTGGATGCCCAAAAAAACCCAAGGCATCCTATTCACTAGGAAAACCAAACTCAATTCCCCACTTAAACTATATCTGAGTAATCTTGAAATAAAGTTCACTGACACCATCAAAATTAGGCCTTATTTTCGACAAAAAATTATCTTGGGCGCCATACCTAAAAACCTTAAAAGAGTCCTGTATAAAAAGACTTAACATTATAAAAACTCTTTCCAATAATAACTAGAAAGCGGATAAAGACACTCTTCTAGAAACATACAAAGCGTTAATTAGATCCAAACTAGATTACGGCTTTACCGTAAAGCCAAAAGCTTCACCAAAAACATTATAGAACCAATCTCCCACTCAGCTATAAGACTAGCCACAGGTGCATGCCCCATAAACAGCCTACTATTCGAAGCCAAAGAAATGACACTTGAATCCAGAAGGAAGTTTCTAACCCTTCTAAATACGCAATAAAACCAATAAATCCAAATAACCCTTCCTATAACAATATCTTCTCCAATAAATACAAAGCTATAAAGCCAAAATTCCCTCCCCTTTTCATATCAAACTTACCAAATTCCTCCAATCTACCACTTTTAGAATTCACCCCACCATTGAACGTAAACCACCACAAATCCCTCCATGGACAACAGAAGCATTCCCAACAAACACCAGTTTTTCCGAACTCCCCAAAAAAGTCCTCAGTCCAATTGACCACAGGACTCGACTCCTAGAACTAAATAACAACTACGCCCAACACAGCAAGATTTACACCGATGGGTCAAAAACGGACACTGAATACGCCATTGTCACAGAAAAAGCCAAAAAAACACAAACTGTCCCTTCTTCGTCATCCATCTTCACAGCCGAAACTTGTGCTATCCTGGAAGCCATTAAATATGCACACTCAAATAACGAAGCCCAGATCGTCATATACACCGACTCCATGAGCGTTACAAAATCCCTAACGAAATCATGTGATCAAGAAAACCAACTAATATCCACCATCCAAGAACTAAACCACAACCAACCTAACACAAATGCCACAGTCATTTGGATTCCAGCTCATTAAGGAATAGAAGGAAATGAAAAAGCCGACGCAGCAGCGAAAGAAGCCACAGTTCCCTCACTTACTAACAATCGCAACCATCTTCCAATCCCCTTGCGACGACCAAATAATCAATTGCAAAAAGGTAACAAAAAATGAATGGGACAATACATGGAAAACAATTAAAAGCATCCAACTACACAAAAGTATCCAAGAGTTTCACCAAACTTTAACAACAGGAAAGAAGGAATAATTATCACACGCCTAAGAACCGGTCATATTAAGCTGACACATGAAATTAAAAAAGCTACACCGACCTGCACTCATTGCAATAACCATCCACTAACAATAACCCACGTACTGCACGAATGCCACATCACAGAAACCCAAAGACAGAAATACGAAATCAACGCAAACAAAAACCTGACTTCTCAAAATGGCATACAAAGCGTATTAAAATATCTCAAAAACATAAACTATTACACACATATCTAATGGCACCGTCGTCGCTAATGACCTCGCCGTCGATGCGACATTAAAGAAAAATAGAAGAAGATGGAGAAAGAAGAAAATTTTGATTATGCAGATTACACAGATCAGTATATCAGAGAATTGTAAAGAGTAAAAAATTATTCTACATTTTTAACAATAACAATACTGCACAGTAAAGAATACGTTTAAATATTCTCTTTAGCCTTAGTCTACTAGTCTATTCAACTTGCAAGCAGTTCAGTACCATTTATTTATATCGAATAACACGACTCTACGTAATTAACACGTTCGAAGGTATTTATAGCTATGTGAGAAAACAAAATATAATATAAATATCCTCTTGCGCTGGAATAACGTGCCACGCGCGACGAGAATATTTGGCCCAAAATTGCAATATTTTCTGTCTTGAATATATTGAAATATAAACCAGGCAAAACAAATAATAAATTGATTACTTCTTGATAATTTCTATCCAGTTATATCATACCGACGAGCTCAAAAGGAAAGCGAATTATTATATACGGTTCGGTCACTCGTTATGGTCCGCAATCAGTTGCCAGCGCAAATGGTTAACCTCTTGCGCTGGAATGACGTGCCATGCACGTCGAGAATATTTGGCCCAAAATTGCAATATTTTCTCAGTTTCAAGTATATTGAAATATAACCCAAGCAAAACAAATAATAAATTTATTACTACTTCTCAATAATTTCTGTCCAGTGATATACCGATGAATTCAAGGAAAGGAGACAGAGTTATTGTATGATTGTATGACGGTTTGGTCACTCGTTATGGTCCGCGAACCAGTTACTAGTGCAAGAGGTTAATAAACGTAATCAATCACCCTATACAAAAATCAGTCAGTGGCTACTGATTTATTTCAACGACCGATCGCCAAGTAATCGATTACTGCCCGAACTCTGACCGATAGGGCACATCGAGCGTTAAATATTGGACAACTATAGTCGCCGTTGGTACAAAAAAAGGATCGACGACGAAGTCGTAACTACTCCAAGGACTGATAGTTGCCACGATGGCAAACTCGATGGTTTTCGTAGCTGTCGAACCGCTACGAACTCACGGAACAGGCCAATACTCCTCCGTCAAAAATAAACCCCGATATCATCGATCGGCTTTGTCGTATTTATAGCGGGGTGTCCAACAAATTTGTGACGTGCTCGCGGTGCATCGCGCAGCTTCTCTCCGTGGTGCAACAAAATCTCTGTCGTATCGAGATTCAACGTAACAAATTGGACGTTGAAGAAGAACGTCCCCGAAGGGCTGCGCCTAAATCCAAACCCATTTAATCCTCTCGATCGCAAGATCTCGACACGATCTCGAAACAATGCCATTTAATACCGAGCTGCCACCGTACGATGGAATATAATTCATTGTCAGTCGGTGCGGTAATTCACGTCAGATTGCGGTGATACAAAGAAACAAGGCCACGTTCAAGCTCACTCACGTGTAAGTAGACGTTGTAAATCCTGACTTGGGGGAGGTTTGGGTTAGGTTTCTAAAGGGCGAAATGCTGCCCGTTCGCTCGAATATGTATGACTGTCCGTTTTACGACCTTCTCGCGAAATCGCTTCGATAAATAGGTTTCATTGCCTTGGCGGGAGAAAAATGTGCGAGATAAAACTGTCTCGTTTTGTCGCTGTTAATTTGAAGATTGTTTCTCCTCCTGTTTGTCGGTCAAGCTCTTACGTTTGAACCGAAGCGGATTTCCATGCATTTAAAAATCTAGCAACACGTGGAATTTGCTGCAGTGTAAGCAAGAATGTATAAAATGTTTGAGTTTAGCGGTTTCTTCGATCGTGTTCATGAAAGTATGGAAAACAACTGCAGTCCACTGTCGTCTCAGTTTATAAATTTGTAAGAGAATTGACGAGACTGATTAAAAAATGTAGCAAGACGTAATATCCTTAATTGTTTCGTTTGAATTTATAAATGAAATGCATATAATTTTTAAAATTCTGCGTTATTAATTCTAAATCTATAAGTTGAAAAAAAAATGGAAAAAGTTTCGGAGGATTTACGTATAATAACTTTGTTTCTTCACGAAGCAGGTTTTATCGGAGTGAATAATTCTTTGCGTGGATGTAAAAGTGACCTAAATCTTTCGCAGTTTCTTAAGGAATGAACTTTATTTGATGGAGGAGTTGGTTTCCCATAATGTGAACATTGTTCACGATAAAAATTCCTTCGAGTTTGGCAAGTTTCGCAAATGCAATGTGCCTTAAATAAATTTATTAAAGGGACATTTTCTAAAATGTTTGTAACACTTCAAAAACAGCTCATTGTTTGATAATATTGTAAGTTTCAATTACTATATAGAGCGTTCCAAATTTTAATATTCAAACTTTGCATTCTACACATGAAAATATAGACTAAAATATCAATAAGTACTTCAGTAAAAAATGACAAAAGTGTGATAATCCTATGAATAATGTGATATGATAAAATAGTCCTACTTTAACTAGATAAGAATTTTAATGTAATACTGGTATTAATACAATGTTAAAGTAATTATCACGCAATTATCGATTGAAAAATATACAGTTCGACGAAAAATATATAATTGTATTAAAAAATATACAATCAGCCCATTTAAACAGGTATATGACTCTGAATCAGGTAATATCACAATGTTTTCCTCTCGAAACCATTCAACTTCAACGAAACATTTTAGTTTAATAATCATCCATGAATTATATATATATATATAAATCTTTACTAAAAAAAGATAAAATTATATAAATAAATTTAAAATTATTAATATATAAAATATTTAATATTTCTAAAATATAAAAATTTAATCTATATAATAAATTCAATAAATTAAATAATAGATATAATAATGGTAAAGAAAAAATTAAAGTATAAAATATTAAATAAAATGAAGAATTGAAACGAAATTCACCATATCCTCGTTTCATAATTATATATAAAGACTTAATAATAAACTAGATTCAAATATAAAATAAAATATTATTGAATTTATTGAAAAAAGAAATTACATACATTAAAAATATTGAAATCAAATTTAATAATATGCAATAATTTTTTAAATGTAATAAATTTAAATTTATAATAATAATTCTAAATTGTTTCACACCACGAGTAACAATATCGATGTCAATCTAAATGTCAAAATCGAATGAGACAAATATTGTTTACCTGTCTAATGCAAATATAATACAATACTCACGCGAGTCCAACGTTAAATGAAACAATTAAAATCAAAAGTATAACTAGTTACCTTCTTGACAAAGGATACCACGTTGGCAGGCAGCATCTTGAAAGTAGTGACGTAGCTTGGTTTCGATCGACAAGTACAGAAATGCTCTTTCTCTTAACTCCCTGTTGCGCCTTTCCTGGCGTTCTGTTCACCGGCTCTGGTTACCGACATAAAGTTGTTCTCGGGCCAAATATCAGCTGTGTTCCGCGCGTCCTTGTTTCACAATAAGTTGCCGATGTACCAAGAACAGGGTCGACGCAACAGAAATCGGTAGAACGCGGAGCGACTCGGATCACCCTTTTGCCAGAAAGGCATTCCCACGAACTTTCACTTGTTTTGCGTCGACTGTCATGGGAAATACAACGGCAAATGATCTGAAACAAACATGATGTTTTTCGTATAGTATTCGAGAGCTTACCACGGAGAAATTTAATAATATAATAGAAAAATAAATACGGTTGATCGTTTGATAAGTTGACAATATTATTATTCTCGATAATAAATAGACTGCGGATCTTTTTGTGAATTCACATTTTTGGAAATATACCTAATTGAACGAATAAAAACTCGGCGTTTCTAATTATTGAATGTACATCTCTTTGTTATGTCCGCTCTATGAAATTTTCTATCCTAAGATTTTCTATAACGACAGACGCAGTCGAAACATTTATTTTCATTTAATTTATTTACGAACAAAAGACTTTTATAATGTGTGATAAATATAATAAATGATAAACACAATAGACGATTATTATATCGAATAACGTATATCTATATCGAATAGATATATTATATTATTAATAATACCTACAATTAAAGCATAAAATTTCTGTGAGAGACGTTAAAATGGAAGAAAGAGGAAAAGCTTTAATATATGTATAATAAGTACACAAATTTTTATTTATACACTTTAGGAAAAATTTGAATCTCTAAAAATGCATTGTCGTGTATCCATAAAATTTCTAGAAAAAATTACGAATTGATCATTTTGTTGGTAATTCTAGTATTAAAATATAATGAACTTCTTTTAACATATCAAGTCAACATTTTTACAAAAAAAATTTTCTGCGCCAATTTTGCCAAACCTTAAGAAGTAATGCGATTAAAGTAAAATAAACAATTATTTCTTAGTAGATTTTGAGTAATACTAATAACTGAGTAATAATAATAAAATATAATTATAAAATTTATAATTAATAAATAAAAGTTAGGTTTATAATAATAATTGTAATTATTATTTTGATGTAATCAAACTTCTCGATGAAACACTATTATTCTTATCTTATGTTTGAAATATAACAGCAGATTAACCTTTAGACAGTGATACTTCTAGTATTTGAAAGGAAATTATGGTACGTTTCATGGTAACTAAAATTCTATTGAATAATTTATTTCGAAAGTAAAGGTTGAAATGGCTTGGAGTAGATGTAACATTTCAGAAATAATTGCATGAATATTACAATATCATATTGTTTAATTTAATGTTGTTCCACTATTGGACATTTTGATGAATTATGATTAGACACATTTATACTGCCACATATCATGTAATTAATTTATAAATTGAATGTTAATGTCAGTTGAAAGTTCCAGCAAATATTAACTTATAGATTGCTTTTGAGTATTATGTGAATATCTAAAGTTGATGATTTTTTTATTATCACATTGTGATAATTGAGATCAACATCTTTCTTCTGTGCATAATTAGATTTTTATCTGCATGCGTTTCAAATTTAAAGTTAATTAACAAGTCAATTTATCAAATTCAAGTTAAATTTGATAATAAAATTTAATATTTTTTTTAGCTTAAATTTAATAATCTAAGACTTATTAATTTCGATTACTAAATTTAATTTAATATTGTAAATAATGAAATTGAAATCATTTCTCATATATAATTTACTAAAAAATATTATTTTCTTTCATATCTACTCTATATAGTAAATTCATCGTTCGATCAATATAACAATTATTGTTAATACGTTTGTAAGTGTTAATTACGTTTGTTATTTGTTACATTTCAATTGTAAATTATATTCTGTGTAAATATGAAAACATTTATATCCACATATCTATCGAAATACTAATCCTTCCAATTTACTGTAGTAATTGCATTAACAATCAAGCATAAGCATTCTCGATAGAACTATGCATAAATTATAAATTTAATAGAGGAATATTGCAATTAAAATCATAAAATTGTTGTTATCATTTTTATAATATATTATTGATTGTATTAAAGATTGTATTAAAGATTATACCTTATTTTCATTATACTTTGTACATTATTATATTCGACAAAATGAAAAGAAATAAATTTAACTAACTGTTAGGTTCATTTCACAAATATGTGTAATATATTTTATTTAGTTTCATAATCAAGAGTAGTTTAGTTTCAAAATCTGCGTGTTATATTTCCAATAATTGTTCTATTTTGTGTAATGTTTCTGTATATTTTATATTCTTTTATTGATTTAATTAGTAATTTTTATATTCTTTTATTGATTTAATTAGTAATTTTTATATTCTTTTATTGATTTAATTAGTAATTTTTATATTCTTTTATTGATTTAATTAGTAATTTTTATATTCTTTTATTGATTTAATTAGTAATTTTTATATTCTTTTATTGATTTAATTAGTAATTTTTATATTCTTTTATTGATTTAATTAATTTAAGTAATTTTTTATTAAGAGAGTAATGTTAATTTTACTCAAAATAGTGTTCTTATCTTTGTTATGTAATTATATTAACAATTATACATATTTTACCTGCCTTAAAACCATACAACTTTTGTATTAAACAATTTTCCATTGGACGCATAATTTAAAAGTTATTCCAAGTGTACAAGTTATGTGAATTATTCTGTATTTATACGTATCATTTATTAACGTAATAATAAGATAAAATCTAAACTTACAATTCATTTGAATATTTATATATATGTTCAAAAATTCTGAGCATGTTACAGTTTCAGAAGAAATAATTACATTTTTTAGTTAAACAAATGTTTTTAAATACTATTCTTTTGTATATATTTAAATCCTAATTAATTATATTTGAAAATCGAACTTCTGATTATAATAATATTATTTCTTAGGAAAATGTGCGAAAAAGTTTGTTTCATCCAAAAGCAAAAGATGCTCCAACATTTTAAGCAAGAGTATTACTTTAGATTTAAATATTAATTTAATCACTTCACTTGAAATTTAAATACTAATTTAATTTACAATATATATTCTTAATTTTGATATTTTTGTCAAATAGACGTGTTGCTAAATTCCAAAGAAGAAATAAACTTAAAAGAAGATACCGATGAAATAAACTAAATAATGTCATAATAAAATAAAATAATGTCATTAGTTTTGTTACATAATTACGTAAACAATAATCTCGCTAGTACGATAACACAAAGAAATCCTAAAATTTTGCTACTTACTGAACGAGACTGAAACAAAGTTCATCGTTCATGTTCATCCTCTATCGAATAAACGTACGAAACTACTTTACTTTAAGTTCGAACATTAATCAAGTCTATGATAAGCATCCTCTATCCGCGTCGAAAGTAACAGTTTAATAATTTTACGTTGATGCTTGACTGTCATTCGAGACACTTCGTTTCAATAGAGCGATGTAATCACCGATGTGCCCCGGAGTGACAATATTTCATCTCAGTTAAGTGCTTGTAATTTCTGAAATATTACGATAGTTCACGGTATGCGTGCCATTTCTCTGAAATTTACTAGCATATTTTGGGCAGAAGTATTTTTAAGGCACGAATTCGGAACTTCTATACTTTTATATAGAGTTAATTATTGGTTAAAATAATAATTTGATACACATGAAAGGCCGTGTTTCAAATATAATTTTAAGGTATTTAATTTATTATTTAATTGATCTGATTCCATACACACAATCTATATTTATGTATTTGTCGAATTTATATTAAAATTGAAGACTCGGAAATAGAATACATTGTTTGTTACAATGTCTAATGGTGGAAAATGAGTTCTTCCTTGAGAGCTGGAGAATAATTATTTCTTTCATTAAAGATCAGTGTTGCGTTCGTAATTCTTCTCAATTAACTTACATTATCAAATTCTATTTATCACGATGGGACATTTGTAGAATTCGCTTGATATTCTTTCACCGTCGTATTCTGTAATTTTATTAAATTGAAAGAAATTGATAAATTATTTCTTCGTCCTTAATTAATAAGTTCCACCGTTACAAAAATTATCAATTTGGAAAATCAGAAATTCTTGAAATGGAGTTACCACAGTGTCTTTCATCTGCAGTCTCTTTTAATTAATTTATGCATTAAAAAACTGTTCGAACTGAGTGGAAGATGTCTCTCATTCTGAATGTGAATTTATATAAGAAAATGTTCTGACCATTCGTTGTGTTAATAATATTATTATTTATATTTAATTATATTTATAATTCAATCAGATATTTTTAATTTCTAATAGCGGATTTCTTCTTCCTTGATGTAATTGATAATATTTAATTAAATAAAATTAACATTTTCGTAAACATCAACGCAATTATAAACATATTACTTTTTACAATAGAATAATCTTCGAATCATAAACGTAAATCAGTAATTTCAATTGGTAAATTCAAATTTAGTGAAATAATTAATTATTCAAAATACTGTCTCTTCAATCTCCTGTAATATTGAATCACACTCCTGGCATAAATTATTATTGAACTGGATGACAATAGAGGAAACTGTACCTCTTAATTCTAATTGTAGTTTGAATTTTTAATATATATTGATTATTTATTTTAATATATATATTTATTTTAATATATATTATTTAATATATATATTTATTTTAATATATATTATTTAATATATATATTTATTTTAATATATATTGATTATTATTAAGTATAATACTTTAAGACTAATATTGATTATTAATAAGAATAATGTAATCAAGCAATAGGGATTTTATTGAATCTTTCAGGTTAAAAGATACTCTATAAGTTCAATTTAACAAAAGAAATAGAATAGAAATTTAACAAATAGAGCTCCGAAAATTATGTACGATCATACTTCTCAGTATATATTGTGAAGCAAACGTGTGGGTTTTACTATGAAGTTAAAAAAGTATAACGAACCCAAATGTGCTCTTAATTTGATCGCAATTTGATCAGAAATTTTGTTTGATTGTGTCTCATTTCGAAAAAATTTTTATGTGTAATAACATTTTGACAAATAAAATCTTCGTAATATTATTCACGGTGATGATCTTGACAATATAGTGTGTCAAAAATTACTTACTTTTACACGATAGATTAACTTTCTGTTAATTATTTTATTTTATTATGTCCAGAATTAATTAACTTCAAGCCTACTTGATA